GATCAGTTGACTTCGAAATCATGTACGGTACCTGATTAAGAAGCAATATTGGAAATTTTTTCAAACAAAGTGAACAATTAAGCTATGCAAAACGGATAAAGAAATGTGAACACAGAGAATAAAATCAGGTTTCTGTTGTCACGTATGAGAGGAATTACTCAACTTGACATAAACAATGAATAAGCTGAAATGTATTGATAAAAGGAAGTATACGTGGGTATAACTAAAAGAAGTGGACATAATGATCTGACCAATAAAAACAGATATTGACGAATGCTTGATTGGATTCGGACAATGTGGACTAACGTTTATATGTGTGAATACTATTGGAAGCTATTCGTGCCAATGTCCACCGGGTTATCTTCTGAATGCGAATGGAACTCTGTGTGTGGATATTGATGAATGCCTTCAAAACTTGAACAAGTCAGTTATGAGAAGTTTTCAATCTATCCAAAAGTTATCGTTCCCCTACAGATTTCTAGGTCATATTTATTCCGTCTTAATCAATCGTCTTTGAGGTAGTACTGATTTCCAATGAAATTCAGTGAAACTTGTTGGAAAGGTGTACTTTTGAAGGTCAACATAGAATTGCTTGTATAGTTCGTTGATCAATATGCGATCTTTTAATAGCAGTTAGATCATAATGAAGATTAGTGTTAAATTAGATCAGATTAGATTCAGAAGATTAATAATGCTAGATTATTTGGATTATTCATAATGCTGGATTCAGTTAGATTCAGTTCATTCAACAATAATGATAGTTGATGGATTTGTGAAATCTTGACATATTAAACAGTCTAAGAAACATTTTTGCAGTTGCACGCAACCATCACAACGCTGTATTAATTTACCGGGCAGTTTCCAGTGTGAGTGCAACTCACCAGCATTCATTAGCACTGTGAATGGATGTGTTGATAATGATGAATGCCTGAGTTATCAAGTTTGTCTTATATCTGATCCTTCATCCGCTTTCTCTAGCGTTTCAAATTTGTCTTTATTGGTCATGCCATTAATAAGTTTCACGACTAAATTGCAGTTCAACTGTCCAGAATATTCGACCTGTTTGAATACATTAGGCAGTTATAAGTGTGCGTGCGATCAAGGTTTTAGACCAGAAATCAGAGGCGATATTATTGTTCGATGTGTGGACATAAACGAATGTGAGGAACAACCTGATGGTATGTATGGTAGTTATTTGTTCAATACTCACTGATGGTGCCTCAGAGCTATGTCAATTTCTCAGGCTTATTTCGAAATTAATGCCGTTCATTATGCTAATAGTTGATAAGAAACTGAAGTGCTAACAATCGCTATAATGCTGAAAGGAGCGATGATTTAATGCTAATGATAACGTGTCAATATGGAGAATCACATTAATATTGTTCAAGAGAGCAGAATATAATTCAAGACATGCAATTTTTAAAGTCATATTAATGTTGTTCAAGAGAAGAGAATAAAATATTTATGATTGTATCACTTTGATCACTCTGACTCCGACTTTGCTCGCGATTTTCGCCAATTACATAAATCGACTCCTCAGCATAAGCTACAGTATCGGGCCTACTGCTTTTATCGCTCACCGACTGTTTTCCAGGCGATTTGCTGCGCCTGGTTTTTCGTCTGCCTTATAGTCGTTCCCAATTCGGAAGGGAGTTTCCAATTGCCACCTTATTCACCTATTATCATTCGTCCCAGCCATTCGTCTCAGTCTTTTTACGTTTATGATGAATAAGGGCGATTGAATTCAGCTTGTCCTCGAAGTGCAAAATGTAAGAATCGCATTGGATCATACGAATGTGAGTGTATGCCTCCGTCGATTCAGCACGGTCTTCGTGATTGTGTTGTCAATACGTCGTGTCCAAACGAATGTAGCGAACATGCGTACTGCTTGAAGAGCGAACGACCTGACGGTGCTGTCTACAACTGTACCTGTGATGTGGGTTATGCCGGTGATGGAGCCATCGCATGTCTACGTATGTGCATTATTCATGCGAATCGTTGTTTCGATCAGCTTGTTTTAATCAGCAGCAAAATTTTCTTATGTTTTCACTCGATATCATAATCGTCATCCATCATCCATTAAGATATGAGCTGTAATATTCATCTGATGAAAATTGTTGCAGTTAGTTTTCTGAAATTTTGTTGTGACGGTTTACAT